GTCAAAATTACAGGGGCATAAAACTAATGTCACACTGTCTAAAACTATACGAAAAAATAATAGAAAAAAGATTAAGAGATATAATCGAAATAGGAGAGACACAGTTTGGCTTTATGCCTGGAAGATCAACAACCGATGCTATCCATGCAATTAGACAAATGAGTGAAAAATACAGGGAAAAGAACAAAAAGCTACACATGGTCTTTCTCGATCTAGAAAAGGCCTTCGATAGAATCCCAAGAAAACTTATCTGGTGGGCGCTACGCCACAAAAAAGTTCCCGAAAAATATATAAGAATAATAGAGGATATGTATATGGGACATACAACAATGGTCCGTAGCACAACAGGTACTTCAGCAGGCTTCACAATAGCCGAAGGAGTTCATCAAGGGTCGGCTCTCAGCCCACTTCTCTTCATTACAGTAATAGATGTATTAGCACAGTCTATACCTCAAACAGTCCCGTGGAATATGATATTTGCAGATGATATTGTGATACTTGCCGAATCCAAGGATGAAATGAAAGAAAGGTTAGTGAATTGGATAAATATCCTATAAACGCACGGATTAAAAGTAAATAGAGAAAAGACGGAGTATATGGTGATAGGAGGAGATGAAACGGAGAGTATTGATATAAATGATTGGCAGATATCCGCAATTGAAAGCTGCAAATATTTGGGCTCCACTATACAAACAAACGGCACAATAGAAAAAGAGATAAAGAATAAGATTAATCAAGGGTGGTTAAAGTGGAGATCTTTATCTGGAGTGCTATTTGACAAAAGAATCCCACACAAATTAAAGGGAAAAATTTACAGTTCCATAGTACAACCAACTATTCTATATAGTTCGGAAACATGGCCAACCAAAGAATCAGACGAGAGAAGTCTACAAACTATGGAGATGAGAATGCTGAGGATGATTGCTGGGGTAACAAGAAAGGATAAGGTGCGCAGTACAAGAATACTAAATAGTTTAAAGGTAGTGCCCATTAAGACTAAGTTAATGGTAAACAGACTTAGGTGGTATGGGCACACAATGAGAAGGCCTATGAACTACATAGGAAATAAAGTTGAAAGATTGGAAGTGATGGGCAAACGTAAAAGAGGAAGGCCAAAACTTCAATGGGGCCATAAAGTTAGAGCCAATATAAAGAAGTATAAAATAGATAAAAGAGATTGTACGAATAACATAAAGTGGAGAGAGATGTTGAAGGAGCTTACCACCAGAAAAGGTGAAAGCTAAAGAGAAAAAAAAAAAAAATATGTGAAATTTGAAATGTTCATTCTAGAATATTTTAAAAATTGCTTACATTGCCTCTAAAAATTCTTGGCTACGCACCTGCAAACTTTTTATCAGTTATCCGATAAATCATATATTATCTCTATAGTACTCCTCAAAATTAGATATGAATCAAACACTTAATTTCCTCCAGACAAATCATAAATAACATAAAATTTGAATTTGGGCGTGATTTAAATATAAAAATGACTATCGCATAAATTTATAAAACTTCAAAGAGGATTTTCAAAGTTATAAGCTAAAGGGATGGTTGTCTAGCTTGTTCTAAAATATGTAAATATATTACTATATATAAACAAACTAATATCCTCATCTTGAATAACCCATTTATGATTCCTTCAATTACAAGTATTGAGAATACCTTTTGGAGAGCTTTTTAAGACTTTTAAATCCTTTACCAGCAACTTGGAACGATTAATTTGGTCTTCAGATAGTATCTTGTGCATTGTTGTTTTAAGGTCAAAAGTTTTATTTGTGATTTCTCAACATAAAATAAATCAAATGCTAATTATTAATTATACACTTTCAAAATCTTCCTAGAATCATTATATACCAAAAAGATTAACATAAAAGTTATTTTTTCATAATTATTTTAGGTAAATTTTGTAATGGCAAATAAAACCTTTTATTTTTTTTAAATAAAATTATACATCAGAGTGTAGGGCGTTAATTTCTTAAGCCAATAAGGAACCATTAGTCAATTCGTTTATTAATATATAATTACATAGGGTTAACCAAAACATTAGCTAAAAATGGAAGGATTATTTTTCTTTAAAATGGATAACTTGTTACGCAATTTTATTTTATTGTTAATATAATCAATGAAAATCCCAATTATTGAAATTCAATCCCCAAGATTAATCGAAACATAAAGTTAACGTTTTTTTAAAAGTTTTTGATCCACCAATATAAATCTAGTATAGATTAATTCTTGCGCCTTTATAAAAACAGGTAAATTGTTTATATTATTATATCAACAAGCGTTTTTTTTTAACATTTATTAAATTGAACATTTATCAAGCAAAAGTGATGAAAATATTTTATATGTATGCTTAACATAGCGAAAGTTTTTAATTTTAGAGGGAAAATTTGAAAATGTTTCAACAATTCTAATATCTCTAACATCTTGTATTTTTACAAATAAATTTGTTGAGTTATTTTCTTTATAGCTAATTCACTCATATTTAATTCATTGTAAATTTTATGAAGCAAAAACACAAAATAATTTTAATAGGAATACTATTATGCTGGAGGAGGAATAGAGTATCTGTAAAAATTTTATTTATTATAAGAATGCTCAATCATCTTATATATATTTTTTCTTTTACTTGAAAAGGATTTAATTAAAATATTTTCTGAGACTGTTATAATAATAATAATGTTAAATTAAGGATCTCATTATATAAATTATATTATATACCTAGTTCTCGGATAAATTCGGTTTCTCCTAATGGATGAAGAAGAAAATTATATTTGCTTCGATGTTTTCCCTTATGATATGATAAAATAACTTAGAAATTTGGGTAAATATAGATTGATGTTAAATTACGATTTTATTTTTAAAAAAGCTTATATTAACATAAGCATGATATTACCTCCTTTAAATATTAGCGTGCCATTTACAGGTCCTAGATTTCATAATTCATAATAATCATATTAAATTCGTTCAAGCAATAATGAAATTAAATTTTGATTAAGATTTTGATAAAAAAAAATTTCGCATATTAATGATAAATTTATACTAATTTATTTATTTTCTATAGTATAATATAATATCAGGTATAAAAAATATACTTATTTGTATTTCCCTTATAACTTGATCATGAAAAAAATATTTATTTTTCTTAAATGAGACAAATTTGAGATTAAACTTCTTGATTCTCCTCCTTTAAATTAATTTTAATATGTAAGAATAAAAATATTTTAAAGAATAAATATATTTGATAAAAACTAAAAATAATATACTTGGATTAAGCAATAATACGAGTTTAGATGATACTATAAAGTTAAGGTTAATGCGTATTATATACATGTGATTATAAAAATTATGAACTAATTCATAAATAAAGTTTGTGAATCCAAAAATAATGTATACATAAATAAATAAAAAAATTAAGGAAACAAATATTATGAAAGATTATTTTTTGTAATTATTTGGCCACAAAACGACCATAATTAGAAATTTTTATTTTAAAAAGAGTAGGTGTTTTAAAATGTTTTAGAATATATGTATACTATATGTTTCCATTTTAACTAACTCAATGAGGCCTTGCCTGAAACTATGCCCCATATAGTTGGGATCGGTTAAACAAAGTTTTTAGCCGAAAACGATCACTTTAGATAGCAGCTCAAATCTGAAACGCCCTAATATTAATAGGTTTTTTCCTGCAGGAGGCCTAAAGATTAGGCCATATTAGCCGACATTTAGCCATTACTTAACTATAGCTCCAGGACCTTATTTTTTTAAGGTCCTGAAAAATCTCTCCCCAAAATATTTTTCTTAAACCCCTAAATAATTTGTCCAATTTATGATTGCTTTCAACCCAAAAAATTATTGCAGATCGGACTTAGAATAAATTTTTTTAAATAAATTAAACGAACTGGAAAAAAAAATGAACACGTTGGTCAAATATAATTAAGAATTTGTCCACTGAACTGGTCGCAAATTGCTATTTTATAATGAACAATTTATGTAAATTTTACCAATAGGTGTCGTTTCTTGTTCTTTATTAAATGTAAGCAATGCAATTGATTTCTTCTTAATATTTTAGATAAATACCAAGGTTAATAGTAAGTCTGTGTCTATACAATCCTAGTAAATTATAATTATATTAATATATATATATATAATATTATTTTATTAATTTTACTTATCCCAATCCATAAATTTGAACCTGGATAATTTTTGAAAACATAAAGATAAAATATATAATTTAATAAATTGAGGATATATTTACTTTGGATATAATAGACATGATTACGCATGTAGTAATCTATAAGAGATATAAATATTTTAAAAGGAATTCTTATGTACGTAAAGGCAATACTTATTATAACAGAAGAAACACTTCCTATTTAAAGAATTTATTTAAAAATAATGTAAATATTTAATATTTTTTTATAAAAAAAATAAATTAATATTGAATATATCAGAGGATATAATATATAACAATTTATAAATAATTCAATTTATTAATAATACAGAAAAACCTTCGGTGGTGTATATAATATCGCCATCTATAAATGAATATTGTATCGAATGTATATTAAAAAAATGTCATGTTTTTTTTATTCGATATTTACTTTCTTTTTCACACCTGATATCAGGTATTACAGCTGATAGTCTACGGCCAGTTCTTTTACAAATGATCCCTTTAACTAAACAATAATTATATGATTTAAAGTGAAATCTAATCAAAGAAAATTGTTAATTTATTTTTATAACTAGATGAAAGCCAACCACAAATATTCAATCTATAATGACTAACCCTAGTCCTTGTAGAAGGTCAAACATTTAACCGGGACATGATTATTCCTTCAAAAGCCTCCCATTTCAAAGTCTAGACCTGATTTAAATGCGTATCTTTCTATGATAGCGCCATTGGAAAAAGTTCGATTCTGAAAAAATAACCAAAAAGATGGGAAAAAAGTTAAAATATTATATATTTCCTTAAAATACTTCGCTTACCTTATTTAAAGGTCAAAAAAAAAATGTCGGAATGATATGAAAGAATTTGAAGAAAAAATAGATTTGCAATTTTTTGTTTCCGTGAATGTAACTTTTACAAGAATCACTTATAATAAATGTAAGTGCCAATATAATAATTAAATTTTCACTGTTCTAAATATCTATTGCGAACCATTATGGGAATTTAAAGAATTTCCCAGCTATGAAATGAACCTATTAAATTTTTATATTCTAATTTTTTTTTTTTTAATATTAATGTTTTTAACCAAATTATTCGATACGGAAATGTTAGAATCAGAACATAAATGCGTCGTCCCAAGTAACCTCTTTAGAACCCGCTCAATTATGAATGGCGCCGCAGGTACCTATCCCATCTGATGATAGAAACATTTAGACGCGAATCCAACACTAAAAATTAAAGATGGTATGCATTGAATGTTTGACCTTTACCTATCCCATCCAGGTTTTCAGATATTTTTTTACTTGAAAACGTGAGTTTTTCTTTTATAGTAAATTATGGGGGGCTTTGTTATCCCATATCCTCCAAGACCGGGTTAATCGATACAGCATTCTCATCTAAGTTAATATGTTATATATAATATAACAAGATTTCTGAGACTATATATTATTTAATATATTTTATTGATTTACTAATAAACCATCATGATGTATTATTTTCCCGTGTTTATAAATATAGCATTATATTAATTTATTTTATGGATTATTTTAAAAGAGAAAGCAAAAATTTTCCATCGGCATTGCGGAGATAGTCTGAAAACTCTTTGCATAAATAGTTATAATTTTGTTTAACCATATGTTCAGCTTCCAATGATGATAAATGTAATCTATTACGTTCTTTTCGCCAAGATGTAGTCATTAGACTGAATATTTTCTCTGAAGACGCATTTGAATGCGGAATAGAAAATATAAAATTGCATATTTTCTCAATCAAAGGCGAGTTTTTATTAGAAAGGAAATCCATTTTCTTGGGCATTATTCATGTGATTGTTTTTCGATAATTTATCATAATAATAGGAATAAAAATGTGAATATTCCTCAAAAAATACATCTTCCGATTGTAATTGTAAATTTATGTTAATGACTAAAGTGCCAACGTTAAGGACAACACCTAAATATGCCTTTTCAAGATCATATCTTTAAAAAATATTTTTTAAAATTGGTGGGGTTGCTGATTATTCTTTAAGGGATTGATAATACTTAAGCAGCCGCTCAATCGCTGGGATTAATGTAAGCCAGCGTGTTGGTACGTGGCGAAGTAATAAAGATAATTCTAAATTTCTCCATTCTACCAATTCTTTTAAATTGTAACACATTTTGTAGAGTTGGTAAATTGATTATATCATTAATTACCATACTCTCAATATCATATTTGAGAAAAATTATAGCCTTTTTAAACGAATTATAAAAAATGTGGCATATACAACCTATTAATATATTATTATTATTAATTATGGTTTTTCAATTACATCCTAATACTTTGATTTTTTCCAAAGTTTACAGATGCGTTATCTGCACAATAGGCCGTTACATTAGCAATATCAGGTCCAGCTATTTTTAAATTTTCTAGCAAGCATCTAGATATGTCTTTAGAGGTTTCACTATCAGAAGAAAGAAAATAATCTCGCGACACTAGCAATTGAGGGCAAGGGAGTATTTTATCTTATATAATTATCCTATTGAGGGCTATTGCTACAGATCTTCTTCTTAAAGTCCTAGGGTCTAGCCAATGGCCTGTGATTCCCAAATAAGCTTTAAAAATATTTAATCAGATCAATTTATAAATATTAATAATACCTTCAGCTATGTGCCCAAATATCTGCCGTGGTACATATATGTAATATCTCTGATAACTTTCATCACTTTAAAGTTATCTGCTATCTTATTCATTAGTGTCTGGCGACATAAAGTTGTTGTACCAAGGTGATAGAGTTTTAATCATCATGGTAAATGATGGATTATCAACCTAAGACATACAATAACTTTATCAGCCAATTTCTGATAAATATTGCCATTTGTATTATTAATTAATTTGGTTTGAATTGAATTAGTCTTTTTGGATTTAGAGTCTTAGATGTTTTTCAATTTCTTTAAAACTACTGGCATGAACAGTCTTATAAAATAAATATTAGAATGTAATTTACCTTTAGGTGTTTCTTGAGGTTATAGCTACTGGATTGATCTGAGAAAATATTATTTTACATTTTAAACAAATAAATTTTAAGCCAGTTTTGGTTTTTATATATATTTAAAAAAAATTTTTAAATCTAGGGAATGGGAAATTTGTATTATAGCTATTAAGAACATTTTCTTCCCTGGTATCTTCCATTTCTTTAATATCATTGTCTAAATCACTTTCAACGATTTGGATATCCATAGGCGATGACAATTTAAATTTATTAACACGTGATTTAGGTTTATAATGCAAATTGAAAATAAAAATTACAAATTGAAAATATATTTCAATTTCAAAAATAAAATAATAAATCACAAAAATTATAATTAATTATGATATTATATTAAAATTTTCTAGATGTATAAATCTTGGTGCTATCTATGAAAATTTTCAGTCTCGCGTAATATTTATCTGCCTATAATATTGAGTTAGCCGTTTTTAAAAATCGGTTATCATAGCTGTTTAACAACACTAGTTTGTAGTTTCGTTAAAAATTAAAAAAAAAATTTTTGTAAATATATATTTAAAAAAATATATGGTGAATTCCATATCAAATCAACAACAAAAAGGTCAATTCTCAACCCGAATCCCTTCAATTTTTCTTAAATTTTGTATACTGGTAGTATATACTATAACTAAGAATAAAATGAAATTTTACCTTCCAAAACTGTTCTAAGATATAGCAGTTTAAAGCGCGGAAAAATGGTACATTTTTTGACAAAAGGCAGCTCATTTATTTTCAAATATCTCGAGAAATAATTATGTTAGAAAAATAATTTAAACTTTATTAAGTTGCTTAATAATAGTTCTTTAATATGACATAAAAATAAATATGATAGAAAATTGTTTAATATCGAAAACCGGATGTACAAAACCGAAAATGGCCATAAAAAAAAGGTATTTTTTCAAAATTATTTTTCTGTAGATAGATATCACACTGTTTTATATTTGCGCAAAATCCTAGACTGGAATAAACATGGGTTTAGGAGTTATGAGTTATGACTCTTTATATGGCTAAAATTTAACAATTTTAACCCAAAATATTATCATATTTAAATTTAATGAATAGTGATGAAATAATGTTAATTTAATAATTATGTCTAAATGACAGGCCCATAGTTTTTTTTTATCTTTAACAAAATTTTTGAGAGGTGACTAGGATAATGAGCTTCATTTAGCATAAAATAATCTACAATAATTAAAATTAAACAATAAATTTTCCCCCCTATCTTTAAAATTAAAAAAAATGCTTAAAATATTCTTTGACGAGAATTCTATAGATTATATAACATTCAAACAATGGATAGTTGTTGATCGATCTACTCTCGAAACACTGACAAAATACGCCGACCAATTTGTAGATTATTTAATTGAATAATTAAACAATTTGATTTCTTGTTTATAGCTTCATGATAATCATTAATTCAAAACTTTTTAAAATTCAATTTAAATGTTGGCGAATTCTTAGTTATTGCAAACTTTTCAGAAAACTATGCATTTGTAGTGGAGGACCATGCACAAGGATTTAATCAGATTAATAATCAGGCCACTATCCACACTTTTATGATTTATGTGAAACAACATAATAAAACATGTAAATTTAGTGGTTATTTTAGATTGTTTAAAGCACAACGCATGTTTATTTTATTTATTTAAAAAATTGATCGTATTCTTGAAGGAAAGATTTGATAGAGTGGCTAAAATTTATTATTTTTCTGATGAAGCAGTAACCAATATAAAAATAAAAAAGACTTCATATATTTCTACAATGAAAATGATTTTGGGATAAACCCAGAGTGACATTTTTTAAAACCGCACAAGGTAAAATCCCTCCGACATTTTAGGGGCCTTTATAGCAGCTCATGCAAGCTTGCAACGCCCATATGAACATCACATATTGACAACAATGGAATTATTTAACTATGCAAGAAATAATATCTATGGATTAAATTATATATTTGTGAGCAATAACGAATATATTAACATAGAAAGTCATCCTGAAAGCAGATTTTTGAGAGCAAGAAGAATTTCTGGAATACAAAGTTCCATGTTTTTCTAGGCGAAAACAAAGGTCATAATTTATTAAAATTCCTTGGATGATTATAATATAAGATATATTTTAATTATAAATTTTTGATTGTATTATTTTATATGTAATGATTTGAGGCAAATAAAGTTATAAATATGTTTAGATTTATTTTGTCAAGTAACTTATAGACAAAATTTAACTAAAGTTAGAAACATAGCTATCCTAGCCACATCTCAAAAATTTTGATAAAGATAAAAAAAAATAAGGGACTGTCATTTAGACATAATTTTTAAATTAACATTATTTCATAACTATTCATTAAATTTACATATGATAATATTTTGGGTTAAAATTTATATAAAGTGTCATAACTCCTAAACCCATGTTCATCCTAGTCTAGGATTTTGTACAAATATAAAGCAGTGTGATATATATTTATAGAAAAAATATTTTGAAAAAAAAAACCTTTTTTTTCTATGGCCATTTTCGGTTTTGTACATTCGGTTTTCGATATTAATCAAATTTCTATCATATTTATTTTTATGTCATATTAAAGAACTATTATTAACCTACTTAATAATATTTACTAACATAATTATTTCTCGAGATATTTAAATATAAATGAGGTGCTTTTTGTCAAAAATGTACCATTTTTCCGCGCTTTAAACGGCCATATCTTAGCTAACAGTTTTGGAAGGTAAAATTTCATTTTTTTTTCTTAGTTATAGTATGTATATACTACTAGTGTACAAAATTTAAGAAAAATTGAAAGGGTTCGGGTTGAAACCTTGGCTGATTCGATATGGAATTCACCATATATATCATCAATTTAATATTATTTTATTTCAAAAGAAAAAGAAAAAAAAAACTATTTACTTAAATCGTCGTATTCCATAACTAATAAAATGAAACCAAAAATTTTGTGATAAATTTAGAGATTGCATAAAAGATATTATTGATTATAACTATTTTCATTTACATTCGTGGGTTGATAAGACTAGAGAAAGTAGAAAAGCGATAATTTTCAACATTTTTTTCAATAAAAAATTAAATATTAAGAAATAATTTTTTTTTTCTTCGTAATTTAAATTATTACAATTTAAAGAGGGTTTAAAGGTTAACGATCTTTTATTTTAACATAAATATAATAATTTTTATATTTTTTATATTGCAACCTTGTAATATAATGCATATATTTTTTTTTTACAAAAAAATATAATTTACACAAAAATTTCTCTTACATCCAACCAATTATAAAAAATAAAATA